GGCATGTGTGCCAACTCTCAGCCCTACATGGCCAGCAGGAACGGATGTGCTTTGCAATGTTCTGCTGATACAGGACCTCTCTGGCATCTGCCGTGGCTTCGCAGTGTCGGTTGTACTCTTTGGTACTCTTTCTGAGTATAGTCTAAATTTGGAGGTACTATGGTGATGCCCTCTCTCATTCTACCTCTCTTATTTCACTCCGCTTTAAATTGAGTTCCCTCCCGCTGCATATTTCCTCTTGCTGCACCGCTTTTCCTCCACACAGTCCGGCATTATATCCCGAGCTCCTAGAAAACATACTGGTATAAAGTTCAAGAAAGAGACTGAAAAACAGATCATTCCCTGTACGTTCCCCTCATGTGGGAGCCATGTGAGGCTTGTTTATACTGCTTTGCTCGTCCTTTGGTCACGTTAGGACATCTGTACCGTTTGAAATCTTTAATTTGGTCAAAAATGGTCAGGTTATGTGGTTAAACCTTGAAAGAATGTTATAATTATCAAGGAATTAAAGTGGGAATGGCTGTAGCCGGGGTGACCTTGGTTTGGACTGTCTGCCGCACACATACAGATTGGGACATTGTTTCAGGGCTTGCATTAGGACACTGTCAGATGGGGAGACTCCCTGCTAAAATAAAACAGATGTTTCTCATAGAGACGTGTGCTTGTGCGTGCATCTGTTTTTCATTCGATCACTGAGCTCCTTCTGCTCTTCTGATCGTCTTCTTACTGGATAGATGTGTGTGTGAGTGTGTGACTTTTTGCATTTAAAATGTTTGCACAAGAAACCACTCGTGTTGGTGCTTGTGTGTTTCCAAACAAATCAATGATTGATTGTGAGATCTGATTTATTTCTGTTAGATTCTGTGTTTTTTAAAAAAGCTTTATTTTCTCATATAGACTCATATTTGGCAGGATGTGACGATTGGTGGCTGCTAAGGCAATATTGTTCATATTTAGGGTTAATGATTTGAACAAACCACTAACCCTAAACTATGGTACGCAACTCTCTCCATACTTTTCTACATGATCAGATTACAATTTACAATTTTTGTGTTGTATATATATATATATATATATATATATATATAT